GACACAATACAGTTGGATTATATAAAGACTGTGTAGTGTATAAAACACAATACAGTTGGATTATATAAAGACTGTGTAGTGTATAAAACACAATACAGTTGGATTATATAAAGACTGTGTAGTGTATAAAACACAATACAGTTGGATTATATGAAGACTATGTAGTGTATAAAACACAATACAGTTGGATTATATAAAGACTATGTAGTGTATAAAATATAATACAGTTGGATTATGTGAAGACTGTAGCATATAAAAATTTAATACAGTTGGATTATATAAAGACTATGTAGTGTATAAAACACAATACAGTTGGATTATATAAAGACTATGTAGCATATAAAACACAATACAGTTGGATTATATAAAGACTATGTAGCATATAAAATATAATACAGTTGGATTATATAAAGACTATGTAGCATATAAAAATATAATACAGTTGGATTATATAAAGACTATGTAGCGTATAAAACACAATACAGTTGGATTATATAAAGACTATGTAGCGTATAAAACACAATACAGTTGGATTATATAAAGACTATGTAGCGTATAAAACACAATACAGTTGGATTATATGAAGACTGTGTAGTGTATAAAAATATAATACAGTTGGATTATATAAAGACTATGTAGCATATAAAACACAATACAGTTGGATTATATGAAGACTATGTAGCATATGAAAACATAATATAATTGGATTATATGAAGACTGTAGCATATAAAACATAATGTAGTTGGATTATTTGAAGACTGTGTAGCATATAAAAACATAATATAATTGGACTATATGAAGACTGTAGCATATAAAAGCATAATACAGTTGGATTATTTGAAGGTTATGTAGCATATAAAAGAATAATACACTTGGTTTATTTGAAGTCTGTTGCATATCAAAGCATAATACAGTTGGTTTATTTGAAGTCTGTTGCATATCAAAGCATAATACAGTTGGTTTATTTGAAGTCTGTTGCATATCAAAGCATAATACGGTTGGTTTATTTGAAGACTTGCATGTAAAAACATAATACAGTTGGTTTATTTGAAGACTATGTAGCATATAAAAGCATAATACAGTTGGATTATTTGAAGGCTATGTAGCATATAAAAGAATAATACACTTGGTTTATTTGAAGTCTGTTGCATATCAAAGCATAATACACTTGGTTTATTTGAAGACTTGCGTATAAAAACATAATACAGTTGGTTTATTTGAAGACGCATATAAAAAAACATAATATACTTGGATTATTAGAAGGTGTGTGTGATCTAATAACTAAAAATTTAGAGATTTACAAAAAAATTATCCCAGCTTTTAGATGTTTTTATGATTTTGTTTACAAGTTTAAAGTTCACAGTTCAGTTCTCTGTAATGGACAGAGTACAGATAGCTTATTGTTTGGTGTAGTGTTATGGCATCACAGAAGACATGATAAAGTATACGTGTAATTGTTTTCTTTACACTTAAAATGTTCTAGAAACGTCATACTTTCATGAAACAACATTCCAACATTATATCAACATCAGAATTTTGAAGCTGTAATAGTAAATATTGAGCTAAAAAATTATGTTTTGGAGATACAGGTCATTATTTTATTTACATTAATAGAAATGTCTCAAAATGAACTTCAGTTTGTGTTAAAATATATTGAGAATAATGGTGTACCTATTGTTTTTACAAATTATATTCTTTATATTTGTAATAGGCAATTAAACATCAGGCAAGGATTAATAAATTAATTCCACAAGTTCAGCAGCTGTTAACAGAGGGTGCTCTAGTGGAAGAAGTAGTTCTAGATAATGTTCCAAAATTGATGAATATAGTTCGAGAATGTAATGTCACTTTAAGGTGGATGATTCTCCATACAGCATCATTGTCTCCAAGTAAGATTTTTCAATATTGTAACTTGTACTGTTGGATCAAGACTGTTGTTAATTGAAAAACAGAGAAAATTTCAACATTTTTGGTGTAGATTTATTATGACAAGGGTGAGATATTGGTTCTTAAGTATACATTGGAATAACATAGTCAACTGAAAGTTTTATATCAGATTGAACTTTCATAATCTGCCTGTTTTGTGTTACAAGAAAACACTGGTTCTTAAATACACATTGTGATAACATAGTCATCTGAAAGTGAGATTTTAGCTTTATATCAAATTGAACTTTCATAAGCTGCCTGGTTTGTGTTACAAGAAAACACTGGTTCTTAAATGTGATAACACAACTGTCAAAAAGCAGTTGTTGTCTTCTGTACTAAATAATTTGTTCAATAATTATAGAAAACTTTATGTCACTAAGAAAACTGGAATTGCCTAAATGACATTTACATTGATCTTGCTACACATCAAGTTCATGATGATCACCTAAATGACATTTACATTGATCTTGCTACACGTCAAGTTCATGATGATTGTGGATTAATCTGCCTCAGTTGCTTTAGAATCAAACATTTGATTTGTGAAATTTTTCGTAGTTAAACAGGCTGGAATTATAGTCTAATGATGAACAACACAATGACAAAAGTGATGAATAATGACATATTTATCAAAATTTTGGAAAACATTTTGTATTTATTTCAGGAATATACTGAATTTATGTGTTTTCAAAAACATTTAATAAATGTTATTAAATCATTTTTGTGTTCATCATTTATTTGTGTAGTTTTGAACATTTTAATGACAACTCAAATTTTCTAGACTTGAACATTAAATGATTGTGGATTTCAGTTCGTGAATGTTAGATTTACCTTTATATGAAATTACAAACCATATTAAGCTGAACCTTTTGACAAAGTTATTAAAGGCTGATCACTGAAAAGTTTGGAAAAAGAAATAAGGAATGAATATCAGACATTACAGTTTTTTGAATTCATATTACTGTGCATTGAGTAGCCTCTGTATAGCTGTTTCTGTTTCATGTTTCTTCTAAAATGTAAATAAATGTTTGTAATACATACGGTTAAGTACATCATATTACATTCAATTTTGTGTATGTAAATTAACAAATCATGTGATAACTAAACCCCAGTGTAAAGCCATAATGAATGGCATATATTGGAATTATATCCTTACATTATTTAGTGATTTGTAGGTATTGTGATGCCACCAAAATGTTTTGCTTTTCAGAAGTGTATAAAACAACCCATTCTGAACCAAAATATTCATACACTCAGATCATAAAGATGTGTTCAGATCATGGAATTATAATTTCCAAGATAGAGATATTCCTTGTACTTAATGGCATTGGAAACAAAGGAATATGAATAAATCTAGGGCACTAGGACCATCAGAATGAGGCACACATTAAGTTATGCACCAATCAGGGTAAGTAAGCAAAGTTTTCTGTCTTTTAACAGGTAATAACCTGTTTACACAAAGTTGTCAATGTATCTCAGACAACTGTACAAAATGTAGCCAAGAAAAATTATCACGTGGAAAAATGATAGAAATCATGTGTACACAAGCTGCTTTCACAATACATCCATTGAACTGTTGCATATTTGAAGCAGTTGGAGAATGAAATGGATACTCATGCTATTCTATACAAAGATATACATGTCAAGTTTCCAGATGCAGCATCTATGGATTTCTGTTGGATTGGAATGTTCAAATGGGCACTGGAATACTGTCATACTTGTACATTAGATGAATTATAGAAAGCAAGCCAGAATGAGTAGTGTGATTTTGACAAAACAATCTTATGATGGAGTCTTTTACAGTGGTATCTATGCTGCAGGGCTATTGTTAAGTTGCATGGTCATTATCTAAAGCATGACCTGTTATTGCAACATGGACTGTATAACAATGTTGTGAAGCTTTACAATTGTTTTAATGTATTATACTCAACCTTTATATTACATAAACTGTTGTCATTTTTTTACTAAAATACCTATTGTTAGAAAATTATTCAAAATCCATTGTTTTTTGACAAAATTTTAAAAAGAATATTAACATTTTTTTTCAAGGTGCTGAGACCAATAAGAAATGTCGACAAGTAAGAGATCAGGTGGTAGCAGATAGTCGATACAACCCACTTCAAGTGTTTCAGCTTCTACTGTTTACAGCACAGTTTGAACTCAAGATCAAAGAAGTGAGAAGTTTTGTAATCTTTAAGTATATATTTAGTTTATTTGTCACTAATGCTATATTTAAAGGAACCCTTTGCTAGCAAAATTTGTCCTTTTTTCTGACCTACACTCAAAATATATACTATAATAAATTAACCATCAGTCATGGGAAAAATAAAAATGCTATCTCTACACACATAGCAAACGTTCAAAACTGCTACATATTTTATGAACTGTGGAACACCATTGATCGATGCTGGTGAAAGCCGATAAGCCAAGCAGCTGTCAAAACTTGAAAATGGCGTCACCTGTGCTTAGCTATGATAACAAAATAGGTATAGATCAACTGATATACATGTAATTATATTTCATTTATTTGTGTCAGTTTGATAATTAAAATGGATAATATTGTGAAAGTATAAGGGTACAGTTTCGAGCCAGAGTTGACAGGTGAAGAACTGTCTGTTCTGACCAAAAATGTCAAGATCCAAACGGAGAATAGCAGTGACCGCGAATTGAATGATATGAGACTGTATAGGAAACACTGACTGGTGTACTTACAAAGAATGTTTACCACTGCCAACTGATATCAAGTCTTTTTGTTGCAAAATGTCCAAAGGTCAGAGAACTGGATCATAATGGGTGTATCACATTACATGAATGATTCAGTACCTTCTGTTTGGATCATGATGTCCTGCAACTGGCACTACTTATGATATATAATTCACTGAGGAAAATTTCACCACCTGATCCAATCCAAAACAGGTGAAATTCATTTTAGAATTGTTTGTGACAATAACAACAGCATTAGTAATAATAACAATAATGATGATAATAATGAGCGAATCTTGATTTCAGATCTGTACGTTTAGCTATGTATAGATATTACATCTATTGTGTGCATATTAGATTAGGAAAAAGAAGCAGAAGACCAATCTCTTCTTGTGTAGTGAAAACTATCAGAAAAACCTCCAGAACCAGATGACATATATCAACAACATTCTTCATCAATTATTTTAAATGCTGACTATGCTTTCTCAGTTTTGTTACAACCAGGAGAACAACAAGTAGGCATTTTGACAAAAATTAAGTCAAATATGTAAAATGAAATTGAGCTGCTAGAAAACAAGTGATCCATCAAACAGTTTCTCTAAGCACTTGTGACATCACTACATTGGAAAAATAAATGTCAAGGTTGTTCGCTTCAGCATTTTATGTTTTATGAAGCAGACGGGTTGGTAGCAGGTCTTTCCATAAAATATGTCTTTGTGTAAAAAGAGATTTATTACTTACAAAAAGGAGTTTATATACAAAGGGATAATAAGCTATATATTACACACGTTATTCAGGAGTAAAGTGTTCCTCTGAGGAACAATTTTGTAACAGAATCAAGGTGAAATTATTCGGAATTGTGTGGACTGTGTATCCTATTAAGGTGAAGTTATCAGGAATTGTATGGACTATATGACCTATCAAAGTGAAGTTATCAGGAATTGTATGGACTATATGACCTATCAAAGTGAAGTTATTAGGAATTGTATGGACTATATGACCTATCAAAGTGAAGTTATTAGGAATTGTATGTACTATATGACCTATCAAAGTGAAGTTATCAGGAATTGTATGGACTATATGACCTATCAAAGTGAAGTTATCAGGAATTGTATGGGCTATATGACCTATCAAAGTGAAGTTATCAGGAATTGTATGGGCTATATGACCTATCAAAGTGAAGTTATTAGGAATTGTATGGGCTATATATCCTATCAAAGTGAAATTATTAGTAATAATATCACCTTTTTTCAAGGTGATATCATGAAGGTTCTTATTAATGTATTATTTGTTGAAGTGAAATAATTAATGATTTAACACCTGTCAAGTAGATATTTCTGTGGGATCTATGACTTGTTTAGGTATTGTTATTATTGTCTGAGGGACGTAACTCTACTGGAACTCTGGCGTTATTTTTGAAGAAACAAAACGTTTTTTTTCTTTTTTCTGTTGTATAGATTATTTTGTGGTTTGATTGTTTTCGATGTACTAAGTAATATTTTGTTTCCTACAATTTCAGCTAACCAATCAGTTTTCCCTATACCTAGGTGTTGATGCTGGGAAAGAATTATGTATATGTTATAGAACAGGTTTTCACGAGTTTCTTTTTGTTTATATGCAGTTATTTATGGAGAGAGATAAAGAATAAAAATATTCTATTTTGCTAAATGTTTTTTCAGATGTTCAAACAGTTGCTAGCTGACAAGCAGGACAAGTGGAGTCGTTGTAAGAAAGAAGGGACAGAAAGATTGAGTGAGCTAGCTGAAGTTTTCTCAGGAACGAAGCCACTTACTAGAGTTGAAAAAAATGGTGAGAACAAGTGACTTAAATCTCAATTTACTCTCTGTTTAACCAAGGTTTATATGAACAATATGTTTGTAACCTACCAGCCACAATTCGAATCAGTACATCACATTTTGAACACCAGTAGATCTGGATGATTAGATGAACTTCAGTTATTGTTTTTGAATTTTTTAAATAAATTTTTTAACTACCCTTTGTTTAATCCGGTACAACAATCTAGGATTAATTTACTTTTTATCCTTAAATGTTGTACATGAAAATATATATATATATACAAATAATATGAAACTTGTAACAGTCTGAGAATATAATTAATACTGTTCTGTGGGTTTGTCTTATCAAATTATATATATGTATATAAGAAGAAAAATGTGAAGGAGATAAAATAAAATAGACTTTTAGAGAAAAACATCACATTCAAAAACTATGGAAATAAATTATTAACTTGGTGATGTTTCGAGCAAATGCTCTTTTTCAAGCCAGAAACAAGCCTGTCAGTTAATGACAATTACAGGAATGTTTAGAAATGAAACAATACACAAAATAGAATGTAACGCGAGATAGAACTATGAGAATTAAACGATATAATAAAGCAGGTGATTAAAAAGCAGTATTAAAAATTATTAGAAATATAGAATAACTTTACATATCAAAGGAAGAAATAATTTAAACACTTTAAGATAATAAAAAAAGGTATTAGAAAAATTATAAAAAGAAGAACCGTTCGTTAATACCCAATGGACTTAAACAACCCAATTCAAAAATTATTTTTTTAGGGCTGTTAGTTTCATTGATTTGTTGGCTTCCCACAGTTAAAGCCATAACATAAAATGTTTTCAGTTAAACATGTTATTAGGGCTGTTACTTTAATTGCTTTGTTGGCTTCTCACAGTTAAAGCCATAACATAAAATGTTTTCAACTAGATGTGTTATCAGGGCTGTTAGTTTCATTGTTTTGTTGACTTCCCACAGTTAAAGCCATAACATAAAATGTTTTCAACTAAATGTGTTATTAGGGCTGTTAGTTTAATTGCTTTGTTGGCTTCTCACAGTTAAAGCCATAACATAAAATGTTTTCAACTAAACGTGTTATTACGACTGTTAGTTTCATTGTTTTGTTGGCTTCCCACAGTCTGTTGTGATTTTTTTATCACTATAATAGATATAAGTGTTATAAGATTTGTGTTAGTTCTCATTTATCATAGATTATGTCTGTGTAAACATAACTACAGATTAAAATTAATGTTTTAAGTTTACTTCAAAATTACTGCTTCTCATGAGTTACTGTTAAGAATTTCCCTGTGCTCAGAGCATTATAAGTTAACTTAGACTACTGGACACTTCACTATAGAAATAACATGTGAAGTTCTAGTGAGTGAGAGAAGCAAACATACATGTATAATGATGTTATTGTTCAAAAACAATTAGCTACTGTGAACTGTACATTGGTAAAGGTAAATATGGTGTATCTGTTGATAAATTTAAATATTGTGTGGCTGTTGATGAAGGTAAATTATGGTGTATCTATTAATAAATTTAAATATTGTTTGGCTGTTGATAAAGATAAATTGTAGTGTGTCTGTTGATAAATTTAAATATTGTTTGGTTGTTGATAAAGATAAATTGTAGTGTGTCTGTTGATAAATTTAAATATTGTTTGGTTGTTGATAAAGTTAAATATTGTTTGGCTGTTGATAAACATAAATATGGTGTGTGTGTATTGACAAATGTATGTTGATGAATGTAGCTGTAATATGAACCAGTTTTTAATAAACCCCGGATCATGTTAGTGTACAGATAACTGGAAAATAAAGTTAGTTTGTAGATTTAATATGAACCAGTTTTTAATGAACACAGGTTCTTGTTAGTGTACAGATAACTGAAAAATAAAGGTAGTTTGTAGCTGTAATATGAACCAGTTTTTAATGAACACCGGATCATGTTAGTATGCAGATAACTGGAAAATAAAGGTAGTTTGTAGATTTAATATGAACCAGTTTTTAATGAGCACCGGATCATGTTAGTGTACAGATAACTGGAAAATAAAGGTAGTTTGTAGATTTAGGTTCAGGTCAATGTTTTTATGCTACAATCTTATTTTTCTTCTTAAAGATTTAGTTTTTTGAAGCTTCCAAGGTATAATTTTTATACTTTTTAGAAAACCTTCAACACTGGTTCAGTGAAATGGCCAAACAAGTAGAATCACTAAATTATGAAGATACTACTGCTACAGGTCGGAAGATGGTTCAGTTGATTCAAGCCCTAGAGGAAGTGAGTACTTTAAAGAGTTTGGGTTAGGAATTTCAATTTATTAAGCTCATTGTATCAAATAGGTGTCCATTGAGCCCTAGAGAAAGTGCCTTAATCCTATTCAGTTTGGTGAGCACCTTCAAGATGTGGAGTGTATAAATAATCATTCTAAATTTATTTCAACATTGTATTACTAAAAATGTTTTATAATTGATATTTTGTCATTTTTTAACACTTATTAAGTTATAACCTTTTTTGCACAGCTATGAGAAGTCTCATCAGACACTGTCCTCCATTTTTTAGAATACTTTTTATCCTGATCCCACATTTGTATATTTGCTAATGGACTTTTTTTCTTTTTTAGTGTAGGTTTTACTTCTCACATGGTTTTCCTTCTATTTCTCTGATTTTATTTGTGAAGTATCTCGTTCACAACATTTTTTGTCTTCTCACAGCCTGTGATCTGAGAAACTGCTAATGAAACTCAGTTTTGAAAATAGCTACAGGTATAGATTAAATACCACTGGATAGAAAAATGTATTACTTTGTGTCAGTATAAGGTAAATAAAGTGATATGAGACAAACAGTGAAATGTAATGGGTTTAGAAGAGTTTGGAGCAAGTCACAAAGCTGGGATTTTTTATTGTTTTTTTAGACTTTCTTTTCAGGGTTGAAAATGTTTTATGTTAAATTATGACAAAACATCAGGTAAGCCTTGTTAAGTTGAGAGAGTGTCAATATATTCTGATGACTAAAATTTGACTCAAATCATCACTTACTGAATATTATTGTTAAATTTATCATATTCTAAGAATGTACAAAAATATAGAAACTATTTATTGAAAAGAAACTATATTTATTTAATATGAAGTTATTTCAGCCAAGAATATTGTTAGCAAAAACATATTGTTACCAAGCCTGACCTGACACCAGTGTAACAGGTCAAAATATAGGTCACTCATAAATTTGTCGCTTTATGTGGTGTCTTTTACGATTTATAGTCAGAAGCAGTGATTACTACAATGAGTAAAATATATTAGTTAATACCACTCTAGTTGAAATTGATTATATACATAAAATAGAACTTTTTTGATCAACAATAATGTATACTCTAAGATGAAAGAAAGTGTTTTTAATGTTTTTCTAAACACTTTCCCTCAACAAAACTTTTGGAAATTTCACAATGTAAAAAATAAATTAAATTATATGACTTTTTAAACTAGGTACTATTTAGTAAATTTTTGCAAAGTTTCCAACAGTTTAGTTGAGTTTTTCCACTGTTAGAAGGAAAAAAAATCAAGGGGTATCAATTATGTCCCTTCCCTATTCCATACCTATCACATTCCGGAATTTAAATTAAAGGTAAGGAATGTTCAGTTTACTTAAGATCCATAAGGAGCGGAATTGTTTACATACTAGCTCTGTATGGTTTAATTGGTCGGAATTCCTGTAGATGTTTCTGTATGCTCTGTACAATTTAAAAATGTTTAATATTACATTATTATGTTTCAAAAAGTAAAGAACCTATAAAGGTAAACATTCTAAATGACTACGATGGTGCAATTTAACATGCTACCTTTAAGCTTGTTCAAGTTAATTCAAACAATACTGAGATGAGATGATGATCTTGTTAGTTTACTGAAAAGATGATTAGGTAAATCTGTGAAAGACTCAGTAATTCAGTTCATTCAGGAGGTGCTTCAAAACCTGCTACATTTTTAATGTGTATGTATACTAGTTTCCAGATAATTGCATCTAATACAAAAGCACAATTTCCTGAAGAATGGATTAACATCCTATTAAGTCCAAATTCATCTTCTCACAACCATGTTGCTCTTTTGTGTTATTGATTTGCTAAGTAATGAGTGATTTTGTTTGAGTGATAACTTTCTTATGAAATAGAAGGAACTATTCACTGTTGTAGCACTTTAAAATAACTTCTTTAAAATATCATAATTTTGAAAGTTAAAAATAATGCAGGTTTCAGAATGTTTTACTTTCTCTAATATGTTTGTGAACTTATAATTATTGAAAATAAAACTAAGACTCCTACGACTTTTGTAATGTGGACTAAGGAATAAACTGAAAATCTATGAAGGTTATAATAAGTAAGAAAAATGTGTTGATTTTAGAGCTTATCAGTTTATTTTCATTCAAAGTTAGAGGATTGTATTAAAAATCAAGAGAAGTATTAGAAAAAATGAGCAATTTCTTAATACTTTAGAAGTAGTCCTTTAAAGTAACCATGAAAATTTTGAATTATTTAGTGAAAATATGGCTTGTTTAATGATGCTTTTTTTATCACTTAACAATTATCTGTTGTTAAATGTTTTAGTTTTCAACACCCGCCTCATGAGCCAGTTCAGCATCTTTTGGTATTAAGCCTAGGATATTCAGCAGGGGGGTTATTTTGATAGACCTTGATAATTGAAGTTGGCACAACTTCTGAAATGAAAAAAAAAAAACTAAATGTTAATGAAAATATGTCATGATGAAATCTGTATGGATTATACTGTGGTTGTACCATACTGGGCATTATAGCATTCTTCTTTTATTTACTCTGCATTGCAGAAATGACATTTTTGATTTGAGAATCACTAGGGAAATTATCTTGTAATGCTTCATCTTCAACACTGCATCTTTGAGCTCTAGTGTGTCATTAGTTTCACAAAATATTGAAACTAATGATTTCTTGTATATGATTCCACTTTTTGAAGATAATGATACTGTTGTATTATGTTTTGCTGTCAATCCAGTAATAAATTGACAAATCTGTAATTCAGCTGGTATGTCAAGTCGATTGGATATCTTCCAGTAAGTTCTTCCCTCAGCCAACCTGGACCAACAGTTTAGATTAATTGCCACCTTAAACCATCACATTCACAACCACATTTAGAATATTTGAAACATGATTGATATGTCATTTTCCTTTACATTTACAAGTTAACTTCTCCATATAGATGTTGGAAGTATCCCACACACTACAAAATTTTAAAAATTAAGAAAACAGCTAAAATGGGATTTAAAATACATATCATTTAAAACAATGTTTTACCACTGTTAACATGGCATCACTTTAACAGTGGTGAAACATTGTTTTTAAATGATATATTTTTTCTATGTCATTTTAGTTGGCTCTCATGGTCTTGGGTCAGATCATGGGTCCAGTCACAGATCTGGTCCAGTGTCCTAGACCTATAAAATAGTGCCAGATGTCTTCTGTTTATTTAATAAAAACAACTCAAACCTTTCTGGAGTAACTCCTTTTTTTTGGATCCACATCAAGATGCTGGCCTGGCTCGTGTGGCAGGTGTTAAAAATGCTGTAAAGCTTAACAAGTTTATAACTTAGCTATTGTGAGTTCCTAATTGTGGCATTTCTTACAGGTTCAAGAATTTCATCAATTAGAGAGTAACCTACAAATTAGACAATTTTTAGTGGACACACGTAATTTTCTCCATCACATGCTACGTACTATTAACATTAAAGAAGAAGTGTTAATCACTTTACATATTGTAGCTGATTTGTCTTATGCCTGGGAGCTCATCGATAGGTAAGCTTACCTTACACTTATCAGGAAAAGAAATTACTGTAGATATCTTTGTTTCACAGAAATATTTCCAGATATTTTTGTATGTTGGATAGAGCTGGGTGAAATGGAACTTGCTAATCGATTAAGCATCCGACTCATTATTAATCAGTTAGATTCAATTATTCTAACATGAAACACATTTTTCTATTTTCAGCATGTTTTGAGTTTTCTTTAAATATATATACTGGAAACATGATTACTACTATTTTGTGAGTTTATCCCTATATATATTTTCACAATACTACTAAAACTACAGAATTTTTATTGATGAAAAGAAACATTACTTTGTTAAATTTATTATAAATCAGAAAAATACTAAATATAGCAGAAACTAGTGAGATAACTATTAGGTGCATATTAACCCTCTGAATATGGGTTTGTTTATTTTAACCAACCTTGTAACCATGAAACTATAGGTACTATAACTCTGGATATACAAAGTGTATCTTCATGATATTTGGCAAGCTTTAAGAGAATTACAAGTCGTTTGATGCAAAATATAGGTTTATTAATAAAGAATTTTTACTAAAGATTTGTGTGTAAATCTATGAAGCCTTCACTAAGTCATTCTGAGCACAAGGTAATCTTCATGTTAAGAATAAACATACTTTTTTAGTCTTACAGTTTTCATATTTCATTTGCGTAACTCTAATACCTCTTCAATGAATATAAAAGGTTTTTTTCTTCCATTAAAACTTTATATTTCATCTGCTGTGTTCTCTACCCTAACTCTAAAATAGCAGAATTAGCTAAGTTGAGAATATGAAGTAAATTCAAGTTTCTCTTTTTTTCCTTTCTAGATTACTGCATATTGTAACAAATAATTACATGCTATTTATTCTTACAGCCAGTGTTGCACTGGAAAATGGTTGATAATTTCTTATAAACCAAGCAAATAAGTACTGTGGTGATGTTGCAATGTCTTTCACCCTTAATGTTGTAAGGAAAATAGGTGAAGCAACAAGATTCATCAAATTCAATAAAAATCAAGTTTGATTATACATTTCTTGCAACATTTCCTTAATTACTTGATAGTAGGTTTCTAATCTTATTTTCAGTTGACAATTTCAGCAACACATAAGTAGTGAAAATTTTAATCATAAATAAATCAATATTACAAACAAAACAGTAATATAAAATATCAAATCTTACAGAACCTAATACACAAGATTTATACACAGTACAGAAATGCTCAGTTCTTAACAGAACTATCTGTACATGTTCATGAAGTCATGTGATGCTGCAGTCACAAGCCGTGGTGCAAATGACAACGTTTAACACTTTGTTCATAGCAAATTCTCAAACATATGACAGTGAAACACGATCACAATACCTAAAAATTTCTCAACCATTTGACATCTATCGTTTTCATTGCAGTGAAGGATTATTTGTGTTGTTTTTACTGCATATTACTAATTTTTTTTTTAATCTTTGACTTTGTATAAAGTTTCTGTGTTTGTTGTTGATTCTTTTCTTTAGTTACACACCCTATATGCAACAAGGTGTTAAAAAAGACCCTTCATTGGTGATTAAACTCAGAGCAACATTTTTGAAGGTGAGACCTACATTTTTTTGTGTATGCGTATATCTTGAAAGAAAAGTATTGCCAGGAAACAGTTTTCCTCATGAAGACTCTCTCTCTTCAGCCAAAAGTGAAGATTTTAATGGATAATGAGATTATAACCTGCATTTCAGCCTATATAAGATTTCATTGTTTTTCCTAGATTTTAAGCTGAGTTTCAACTATTGTAAGATTATAGTGGATAACTAGGTTATGACATGCTTTTCAGTCAGTATAAGACTTTGATTTGTATCTAAATCTTAACAATAAATTATTTTATTTGCTACATTTAGTGACACTGTTTTGTGTATTTATTTTGTTCATAATTAATATTAGTGGATGAATACTTGGTATCAACACATTCCACTCTTTCCAGCTTGCCTCAGCTCTAGACCTTCCTTTGCTGCGTATTAATCAAGCCTGCAGTCCTGATCTCATGTCTGTATCTCAGTATTATTCTGGAGAACTAGTGGCTTATGTACAGAAAGTGTTACACATCATCCCAGAAACCATGTTTGGCCTTCTAGCTCGGATCATTCAACTACAGACCAGTCAGATCAAAGAAGTCCCAACTCGTTTGATGAAAGATCAATTAAAGACATATGCACAGTTAGAAGAACGTTTTGAGGTTTGTCAGATATCATTACCTTTATGCTCTTATTGCTATTTTTAGTATTCTCAAAATATTCTATATCAACATTCCCTACAGATAACGTTACCATTATACACTTAATGCTATTTTTATACTGTCAGATTTGTCTATCAGTAGAACATTTATCCTGTTCTACTCACTGTTCATATTTTAATTATTTTGTTTAGTATAAAACATGACTTACAGAATGTCTCACATTGAATATCTGTGTAACTACCCAGTGGAAAATCAACTGTACTCTTAATTTCTGTGTTAATCCAAAATATGTTGTCTTCTTTACACTCAGTTGTTGTTATTTAGTATAAAACCTGCCTTGCATACTGTTATTTCATTAAGTAGAATACCCAACTGATGATATTTCTCTTCCCTTGGTAATAAAAATTGAAATTTCATGTCTAAATTCAATCATTCTGTGGAATGCTTGCCATATACCTGCGTTAACCCATCTTTATTAAACAATTTATGGACTTCATCTCTTATTGTACTGAAGACACGAACAGAAAAACAGTGGGTGTACAAACTGTATTCTACTGAAGACAGGAACACAGAAACAGTGGGTGTACAAACAGTATTGTACTGAAGACAAGAACACAGAAACAGTAGCTGTACAAACAGTATTGTACTGAAGACACGAACAGAAAAACAGTGGGTGTACAAACAGCATTCTACTGAAGACATGAACAGAAAAACAGTGGGTGTAAAAATAGTATTCTACTGAAGACAGGAACACAGAAACAGTGGGTGTACAAACAGTATTCCACTGAAGACAGGAACACAGAGACAGTGAGTATACACAGTCTCTGTCTTTGAAGGTTTGATCATTAGTAAGGAATTCGAACATAGTTCTGAACACTTGAAGGCTTGACAGGGAGCATTCAAGCAGAGTCAGGTTTTTTTCTCTTGTTAACATAAACTGTTTAACAATAGTTAACATACATTAAATGTCACTTGTGGAAAATTTGATTGTACTTATATAATGCTCATCACTTGAACAAAAGGTTGTTGTATTAAAAAAAACACATGCACCAACAAGACTATATGTAGCATCTCATTCTATGTATTAGAGCATACAATCAAGATGAAGCAAGGGAAGAGGGTATGTTTATAATTGTTTGTAATTCATAATAATTTTTTTTTTATTATTTAATCATGTGGCTGATGCCATTATCCAATTAATGAACAATGTTTAGAAACAAAATGTGACTGATAATTACACTCTTGTAACTTTTTTATTTAAGGTCCATTCTACTAAACATGTTATTTTAAAAAGGAAATGCATAGATATTTCTTGAATATTCAACTCCTTGATTTGAATGTATTACATTTAAAAGTTAAATCAAGTTACTAAAAGTTATTGGCTAAAGTTAGAAAATTCGAAAGTGTTCAGTAATTTCACTGTTCATTAAATCCTGTGTATTAAATTTACAACAAATGATCTATAATTAAGCTTATACAATTACCTTTCTACACTGTGCTTTCTTTTACAAGTAATTATACTTATCTCACCTTTGTTTTGGGGTTAAACACTAACCCTCGGTGAAGTGCAGATGCCACTTGTTTAACTAACTCCTTACGTATTCCATCTTCCAATAACTGCTTAGGATCAATTTGAATTATTCCAACTAACGTACGTTTCATCATCAGTATTCCCTCAGTGAACACAGAAATGGAGTGAGTTAAATGAGCTACCTATAAAAGAAGTGAACATAATTATAACATACAAAATGCTCTGATATAATGAAACAATTGGAGTGCTAAACGTAGTTGGGCTGACAAAATCAGAACAACTGTTTTAGTGTAGCATATGGAACACTTGTATGGCTAGTACTCTAGAAACTTTAAATAGTTTGTGTAAGTCAGATAATTCTAATGGATGTTTACAAACAGGCGATGAGAATGTAAAAAAAAAAGATATTCTAAAGGAAATTTGAAGCGGGAGTACAGTCCAAAAAGGTATTCCCTAAAGCTATGAACACAGAGTCTACAAACACAGTGAGCATACAAACAGTATTCTACTGTAGACAGGAACAGTGGGTGTACAAACAGTATTCTACTGAAGACAGAAACAGAAAAACAGTGGGTGTACAAACAGTATTGCACTGAAGACACGAACAGAAAAACAGTGGGTGTACAAACAGCATTCTACTGAAGACACGAACAGAAAAACAGTGGGTGTACAAACAGCCTTCCAAAAGACCCATAATTCAATATCTATAAAGTAATCCTTAATAAATATGAGTTTTCTTTTCTTTCCTGTAATATACTTTTGTATTTGTCAAGTTGTCAGGTATGAGAATTTCCCACTTTCTTCAACATACCACTGATTATTCACAAAATTGATGCAAATCTAACGAGAAGAAATTACACAATATTTTGTGAGGAATAGTTTGAGACTGAAAACAAAATTATTTCACATACTAAATAGAAAACCTTTGTTACAAGTCACAGAAATAAACACTGGAGTCTGAAAGTCAGCTTTATTAATAACAAACATCTTTGTAAATCATTCTTTGCTGAAAGTCAGTGATGAAAATCAACACAAGGTGATGTTGATGGCAAGGAAAAATTCTGTTGGTCATTTTTCAACAAACTAATGGTACTTAAACTCAAACATAACAGCAGAAAGGTGGAAAACATGGCGTACAAACTTGGCAACTTGATGAAAGAATAATTTTTGTCAGTGAATTCAATGTCCTGTTGTGGAAAAATAGTATTTTTTTATATACTTATTAGTGCACAAATATAGGGGATACAAATGTAGATGCAGCAATGTTAATATTAACTGTGCATGAATAACTAAATATTAAGTTAAATGCACTAAATTTCCTGTAAAAAAAATAAGCCATTTTATACTCTCCTTCACATCTCCCTCCATCGATCACACACATTATTATTCAGTGTCAGAGACTTGGGACCAGTAAATGTGATCAATACTGCTAACATTATTATTCAGTAATATACT